TACAAGAGGTTACTGAGTGTGAATACGAAAAAAGAAAAACATTATTAAGAAGTAAGAACAATAAAAAAAAAAAGTAATCAGGAAGACAGTAGATAACGATTGGCATTGCATTTCATTCTTTGAAGATCAAAGTTGGCTGGAAAGCATGGAGCCTGAAGAGGTTTCCACAAAGGAGAAGTGCGAGAAAAAAGAAACTGTCAGCATAGAAATTACGGTTACATCTAGCGCCACATTGCGGCAGTGAGAAATTGAAAACCCGAGCTAATAGGTCAGGACCAGTAATATTTCTGATTCTTCTTTGGATTGCGTTAAAACTTCCATTCATTTGTATAAAACGAGTGGAATTTATTAAGCATATACAAAACCTTTCATTCTATCGAAACGTTAAAAATGTAACGGATAGGATATATTAAACGAATAACAATAAAGTTCTATCTAATAATTAAATATATAGGAAGTAGACTTTATTAAACAAACATATCAAAACTTTCATTACTTCTAATCCTTATATATATAACGAGGAGGAATTATTTAAAAAATATGACAAATCATTCGCTGTAACGATTACGTGTACAAATAGTAAGATTTCTGTCTATATCTCTGAGATGAGGGATTGGGATTACTTACATTATTCGGACTGGTATCCTCATCTATATTGGCATATTCACAACGTTTCGGAGTTTATACGTTCCGGACTTCTTCAGGTGATTGGAATTTCGAACCGAACCCTTTATTTCGTCCACCAGAAGCCGAGTATGAATGTACCATTACTGAAGGCATGCTCAGATGGAAAGACATAGTTGGGCTGACACAAAATGATTTTAACATGTTCTCTTTCTAGCTGAATAACTCAAAGGGTTTTTCAGTGATTCTTGTAAGAAATAATGTCAAGATGGCTAAACGTCTTATCTGAAAAACTGAGGAAAAGAAACTTAATTAGCTTTGTGGTTTTTTTTAGATATTAAATATTTTTTTTAGGATGGATTATTATCCCAAGCTGTTACACGAATTGGACAATTTTGGCCTTACACTCGGTAGATAAGAAACAGGCTGGGTTGTTTCAAAATAATATTAATCTCAATCTCCAGGGAGCCACCCCCAGACAGTAACCCTCTTTCGAGAGTGTGGGGCTGGCGGTCATGAAGCGGTACCTGAGGCATCATCAAAAAGGGGAAGTGCCGAGGGGGGTTGAGCAAATTTTCCATGGCATTGTTGCTGAACCAACTTTCAGTTGACCTTGTCTCACATTCGGAAGAGACGTGGGCGCACGGAAAATGCATATATATATATATATATATATATATATATATATGTAAGCAACAGGTTTTATCAAACAAATGAAACAAATTTTCTTTGGTTTTGATGCTTATCAAAGTAGTGGCAGTAGAAATTCTAGCTGTAAATACATGAAAAAAACAACACTGTAATAATGCTCTTTGTATCTGAATGTCGACTGTACTAGCATTTGAAGCAAATTCAGGACAACCTTTAAAAAAGATCATATTCAACAAATGTGTCCGGGGTCAGACACTTGAGCATCGCTATCCCAGGGACCCAACCTCGATTGTGGGCAGTGGTAGACGCACCTGATGAATCATACCAAACTAATAATTTTCAGCGAGAATATCTTTGAAAACATCTCTTTAAAAACATCTCTTTAAATTGGATCTGGAATGTTTCGAACACTCTTTATTATTAAATCCATCTACAAGTCGATCTTACTAACGTTCCCGCGAGGTAGAGGTCGTCGTTAATTCTTTGAGCTCTGACCACCGATTTACCGGTAGTAGAGAAACATGACTTAATGCCCAGCCACCGGTTGAAAGGTGGGTAAATACTATTTTTATATCTACTGGGAAATATTACATACCAATTATTTGCAAATTTTGACTCAGTAGCTCAGGTAGAAGGGTTAAAATTGTTCAGGAACGCAGGGTTCAACGGCTTAAATTATTTTAAAAAATTGTGTACTTCTCAACCACAGTATTGAGACATCGATTAGCGAGCGAACGCACTAAACAAGCCGGGTCATTCGCCAGTAAAAAAAATAGTTAATTTGTAACGTTCTTCTACTACGAGAGGGTGCGATGGATAAATTGTCGTCTAAATGATGGAAATATGAAAATAACACTGACATCTCATTTTAACAGATAGATTTACCAAAATTACAAAAAAATAATTTGAGATGCTAAAGTGTAAATTTATTAAATAAAATCGCCATTGACTATAACCATGGCCTCCAAATGACTTTGGAATCTCCTGCAACCCTTCTGACACGCTCAATTGCTCCCCACGCATAATAATTAAGGGGGTTGCATTTTAGGTTAGGTTGCCAGATGTAAGGGGTGATGTGGTTGGAGAAATTGCCTGACAGCCATGACTAGGTGCTTTTGCTTGTTTGGTATGGTGAAGAGTCCTGTTGACAGATTAGTGTCTTCCAGCAACCACCCTCTTGACACAGGAAACACAAGGCACTGAGTCTGATGCTCTGTGGGAAGATGAATGGGGACATAACATCGCCATCACTAGTGATCACTCCAAACACCTTCGTAATCACCATTAGACTCATCCAACTCTTTCCGAATCTTTTGCACAGACACCAAACACTCTGAAATGTTCGTATTGGAGCTTCCGGCGCGAATACCAAGCAGTACAGCATGCCGTTTCCAAATTTCTGGCAGAATGAATTGCGTCATGATGCTTTTTTTTTCTTACAGACGGTGCCCAACTGACCCTACTATACTGTGCAGTTGATAAAATCAAAAACAAACTACGCGCATGCGCGATATTAATATATAAAATGGCGACAATTTACTCATCGTATCCTGTATGTGACGTGTTCCTTCGGGACGTAGGCGATCATGGCCAACCTGTCATTTGTATCCCTTAATAATTGTTGCCTTTTTGTTATCTTGCCCAAACCCTGCTTCTCCATTCATTCATTCCTTCAATTCATTAGGTGAGGTTATGTGTTGCCTTCCTCTGTGGTTCTCCCTCTCTCGTCCTTGCCTTCGATCTGTCCCGTGAGAATCAAATTTTCCACGTCCCCATTTTCATTACATAACTCAGAAACTTTAACGGTCTCTTACTGATGTTAAGGATAAGTGTCCTTTTTGTTTCCGTTTTCTCTAAAATTTTCTTGTTGATCACGTGATCAGCCCATGATATTCTCAGCATCCTTCTGTAGAATCACATTTCTGTTGCTTCAATGCACAGATCATGTTTGGAATGTCAAAAACATTCCCATTAGTTTAGAAACGTATGTAAAAATCTACACATTCAGTTAAAAAGAAAAATCCTTGATGGATAACAGAATAGCTGAAAGCTAAAGGGCTATGATCATTTTTTAGTCACACTTAATTACAGCAGGTTTGGCTTGTAATAACCATGTTACACTATTTACATTATTCAGACTATTGCCCTCATCATGGTTGCCATATTTATTACAACGTTTCTGCTGTTTTATGCTCCGGCCTTCTTCAGGTGGTTGGAATGTCGAACTGAACACTTTATTTCGCTCACTGGGTTAGACTGTTCTAGTTCCACGTGCCATGTTTAATGTATGTCAGTTATCAGTTATCTCCTGTTAATACCCCTCTCCAAGTTCTCCACTGCCTTAAACAGGTATTGAACTCACAACTCTTTGGATACTGTCACTGGATCTAACGAACGCCTTTATCCACTGTGCCATGTGCCAGCGAGCGAAATAAAGGGTTCAGTTCGACATTTTTTGTGACTATTTTTGTATCTACTGTAAAACGTTACATATCAATTATTTACGAATATTGACTCACTGGAATAGACTGTTCTAGTTCCACGTTCCATGTCTAATGGATGTCATTTGGCGACAAAGATGAGGACAATAGTCCGAATAATGTAAATAGTGTACATAATACCTCATCCCAGAAATATAGACAGATACTGAAAGGCCGAAACGTTGTAATAAATATGGTGACAAAGATGAAGACAATATTCCGAATAATGTAAATAGTGTACATAATACCTCATCTCAGAAATATAGACAAATACCGTGTTAGTATCAAGCTACTCTAATCTATTAACGATAGTTGACTTATATTTTGCAATGAAAGTTCGCAGAAGTAAGGAAATTGGTGAATTTCAACGATGACAAATAATAGGATGGCATCAGTGTGGCAAGAAATTGGTAGTTTTTTTCCAGATTAATCATCAAACAGTTAATAATATTAAGAAATTTAATGAAGAAGGCCATTGTCAAGTGGGACAACGTTTAGGGAGACAAAGCATCGTGTCTGAGCGAACAAAAAAGGGGTCTGAAGATGGAAGTCATCAGAAACCGTCGTCAGAGCGTCAAAGATGTCGTCAACAACATGGAAATGTCGCCATATGCGATGAGAAAGACTCTGAAAGAGCTAGACTATCAAAGAAGAGTTGCAAGAAAGAAGCCCTTGATTTCAGAGGTTAACAGTAATAAGCGTATGGACTGGGCGAGATAATTTGAGAGCAAAGATTATGAAATTTGGTAGTCTGTAATCCGGACAGATGAAAGTAAATTCTGCCAATATCCGAATTCGAGACAGGTTTATATTTGGAGAAATCAGAATGAGACACTGAATGTCTGCAGTCAGCCGTGAAACATGGAGCGATTGGAGTAATGGTGTGGGGCGGTGTCTAGTTTGGAGGGAAATCTGAGCTAATTCTTGTTGTTGAGCGGTTGAATGGTCCAAAATATTGTCAAATATTAGAGAAAGGACTACTCCCACTATTCGAAACCAATCAGATTGGCAAGAATGTCTGCCTTTTTCAAGAAAATGGAGCGTCATGTCATACGAGCAAAGTAGCAAAGGCCTGGAAAGAATCGCAAGGAATCAAATCATTTCCATGGGTAGCCCAAAATCCTGACATCAATCCAATAGAGAACGTTTGGGAGCACCTTCACCGAAAACTTCGAGAGCGTCCGACCAAAATCACGTCAGTGGTAATTCTTAAAGAAACATTACTAAATGTGGTAATTCTTAAAGAAACATTTTCTTCTTCTTCTTCTTCTTCTTCTTCTTCTTCTTCTTCTTCTCCTTCTTCTCCTCCTCCTCCTCCTCCTCCTTCTTCTTCTTCTTCTTCTTCTTCTTCTTCTTCTTCTTCTTCTTCTTCTTCCTCCTCCTCCTCCTCCTCCTCCTCCTCCAAACCTCACCCTTTTTCTTCTTTCTTTCTCTTTCGTTTAATTTCTTTTTGTTTTCGTTGTTTTTCATCTAATGTTCTTTCGTTTTCATTCACTTTCTTTTAAATTCCTTTCCTTTCTTCTTTCTTCAACCTACCACATCTTTGTCCAGTTTTCTTTCTTCTTCTTCGTTTTGTTTTCTTTTTCTCCTTCTTCCCCTTATTTCTTCTTCTTCTTCCCCTTATTTCTTCTTCTTCTTCCTCTTCTTCTTCCTCTTCTTCTTGTATTTTGGACAAGTTTTCTGGTTTCTGATGAATTCCGATGTTTAAATATAAATTGTCTGAATACTTTTGTCTTCATAAGCCATTTTGTTTTCTGCGCTATGTTAGTTTCGCTTTTTTTTTTTTTTTAATCGCGTCTTCACGCGTTATGTCAGTTTTCAAAGAATTGCGCTTTGGAAGAATATACATTTTCTTCTTCTTCTTCCTTTTCTTCTTTTCTAAATTTCTTTCCTTTTTTCGTCCCATTACACCTTTTCCTTGATTTTCTCTTCATCCTTTCTTCAAAACATTCTCAGCCCTAATTATTTCATGTTATTAAATACCTCACATTTTAATCGCCATAATTCGTTATTCGAAATGACGCCCTCTTTAAACCACACTTTCCTTTCATCACAGGACTTAAAATAATTTATAGAGTTTTATTTCGCAATCCGCTTGTTTGATCCCGTTCTTAAATTTATATTCTTTTAAAACACATTTGAAAATAGGTATGAAATTACCTGATTCAGCCATCTTTCTTTTTTAAACGTATCAATTCACGTTTTACGACGTCATTACCGTTTGAACCCATAAACCACCTACAGATGGAAAAAGAATTATCTTTAAAAATCTGATTTAACCTTATCACGTCTACGGACATCTATGAACTGGACTGGCAGCTGCGTGCCATGTTTTTATATTTGAAATGGTGAGATGAAACCGAACGGATGACATGAAGTGGAAAGATTATAGAGGGATCTCTTGATTAATGCGCATTCCATTAATGCTTTCTCTGTGAGTTCGCTAAACATTTTATACCAAAATATTGATCAGTGCATACATAATACTCGATAAATGCGGTAAAACATTCTTCAGCTTAACCATAATAATTAAAATTGATTTTTTTATTGTTAACACTTTAATTAAAAATTTTCTAAAATTTTAAAATGAAAAATGAGTAACTATTTTCTTTTTGTCAGTATTACGTTATCTAAGTAATTAATGTTAAAAAAATAGGTGGTTATTAATAGATAAATTTTATTATATAAGCCGATAATAAAAATACATATTTCTATATATGTCTCTATTAAAATGTTTGAATATTTTGATTTTTTTCATGTTCATTTTAAGGTCTTAAAAGGAAATTTCGGATTATTTGTTAAAAAAAAAAAAATGGACGATTTAATTAAATACAGAAATTTACACCTATTAAAAAATATCGAAATATAAAAAGATGTATGCATTTACTATGGAAAGATTATAAATACAATTTCCAGCTTAAAATACTAATGATTATGATATATGTGTAAAATTTCCAAAAATAAAAAATATACATAACATAGAATTCTTAACACAATTTACATTATTCGGACTTCATCTTTGTCGCCATATTCGTTTCGGCCTTTCAGTATTTCTTTATATTTCTGAGATGAGGTATTATGTATACTATTTACATGAGTCGGACTATTGTCTTCATCTTTGTCGCCATATTTATTACAACGTTTCGGCCTTTCAGTATCTGTCTATGTTTCTGAGATGAGGTATTATGTACACTATTTACATTATTCGGACAATTGTCCTCATCTTTGTCGCGAAATTTATTACAACATTTCGGCCTTTCAGTATCTGTCTATATTTCTGAGATGAGGTATTATGTACACTATTTACATTATTCGGACTATTGTCCTCATCTTTGTTACCATATTTATTACCGAGCACCTCTGAACAGAAAAAATGTAGAGAAGGAAACAGGAATCCAGTAGCTATCTCTTTGAAAAAGGCACGGAACTCTCACGATGTTGAAGCTGTGGAGAGCCATGATTGTCAAGGTCATGACGGGACATAACATTTAAAAACAATTATATAGCAGAGGTTTAATATAAACCAAATTTAATTAACATAATCGGAAGAGATGGCAAAAACGAAAGCGAAACGATGTTGACGCGAGAAAGCGTGAGATTAGTTTTTGTCAGGGGAAAAAGATATGAAGTAACATTACGATTTGATTGTGCATTTAAAAGGTGGAAAGACGAGAACTCGCGACCAAATCAATCGAACATTTGACACACAGTCGTGTGTGTAAAGATGAAACAGACGAAGAATTATAAAATAAAAGAACAAGGGGATAATCATTTCGTCTTTTAGTTGAGGAATTTTCAGTATTTTCTATGTGTCGTGTCCCTTTAGGACATGAATTATCATCGTTTTTATCAGCTTCTTTTTTACCCGTTAGCAGTGTCTTTTCTCTTTGCCTAGAGACCAGCTCTAGATTTCTCCATCCTCTTCAGATTGATGGCCACTGTCTTCCCCTGTCTCTCTTGCCATTGATATGCCCTTAAGTTCTTTTTTCTCAAAGAAACTTAAACTGTCTACGTCTAATTCTGAGTGTAAGTATAAGTCTTTTTATTACCATTTTCCTTAAAACTTACTCATTGCTTACGCATTCCGACTATGCAATTCTCATCATCCACCTGTAGAACCACATTTCTGTAACATTCACTTTTCATTTGTGGAGAGATTGTCCAGCATTCACTGCTATATAAGAGGAATTACACCACATATATGTTCAGGATAAGTTTTCTTTGTTTCTAATTAAATTTTCCTGTTTCTTAATACTTTGCTTAGCTTTTGGAAGGCATATTTCGTTAATCTAATGTGTGTTCGGTTTTTGAGCGACGCGTTTTCCATCTTTAATTTATTCTAACTGTTGTTTTTATCTTCATTACTAAAGATTCTATTATAATCACAACGTTTTAAACATATAATCTCTACTCATCTTCACTAAAAACAATAAACTCCTGAAGATGGCCAGAGCGTACTAGGCCGAAACATTGTGTCTGTATTCGATCGATCACAAGTCCCGTGGCCCAATAGGGTCATATAGGCACCACATGTACTGCAGTCGCAGTAACAGTGATGATTCCTGGGCAAGATGTCCTGTGGAATCGCAGTTTTTTTCTCATGAAGTTTTTTTCTCCTGGACAAGTCGTCAACCAAGGCTATAGGACCTACTCCGCCCCTGTTATTTACCCATAGCAATGTGGCGAGAGTACTATCGGTTGAAATTTCTAAAATCTTTTTATTAAGTTTTTCAGGAAATCCTGGTTTGGAATTTCAGCACAAATCGGTCTCTTGACCGGAATTAAACTTATAGCCTGAATCAGAGTTAAAATAAGGTTTTGTAAGCTTCTTGGTGTGAACTGAGGAATTCAAAGTTATTTCTTCAAAATTATCATTGCTGTTTTCTAAGCTGAACCAGAGGTCCCTTTAGTTTTGGGGTTGGAGGCCCTAAGTAATAAGTAAATCTTTATAACCGAAGGCACTTATGATTATAAGAGAACTTAATGGTAGATTGAAAAAATGACCCACATTTTTCATCTGGCTTGGATCTATTACCAGCTTTTCCCGAGTTTGCTTTTATACACATGCAGAGACGAAAACATTATTTTCCACATGCGAATGTAAATAAACACCATCCTGTTCTTTTTTGTTTTTTTTCTTTTTTATAAGGACTTGTAGGTTTCATTCTAATTCACTATCATTAAGCCATGCATGCAACGGACAGAAGTGTTTGTTATGGATGTTCCTTTTCTGTTCAAATGGTTCCACTTACTATTCTATACCCGGGAGCCGGTAACTGCAAAATGCTCGTACCTTGTTGAAAGTTGTGTTGTGTGTTCACTAGAGCGATACTGCTTGTTCGTCATATTTTCATCATTATTTTTATTTATTGTTGATGTAGTTTTGTTCGTCGGCGTCATCTTTTAAGGCTTGGGACTGACAGGTGAATAGCTCCTTTGTTCACTCAATAAAACATTTCGTTTTTTCTTACGTAGAGAACTTATTGTTGAGCGCGCCTCCAAAATGTAAGCAATGAAGTAACCTCCCCTTGCATATTTTTAGTAGATTTCTTCGGCTTTTTTTATTTACAGAGAGTAAGAACTGGTGAGTTAAAATCAACAAAAGAACTGGAATAACTTTTTTAAAGCTCAGGCCTGGGTGAAGCGTATGTAGAGCCTGGAATGGCCTATTGACAGGGTCCTTCTCTCGATCTTTCTGCTCTGGACCAAAGAATCACTGAGCATTACGTCTGGCATGTCTTGAAATTCAAGAGTCAGTTTAACGTAATAATAAAGTAATACATAATTGTCGGACTTAGTTCATTTCATAATAAATTATGTCATTTGTTTACGTTAAGATACGCTTCGAGCAGATATCATGGGAAATTAAGTTTGCGTTTAAAAAAAAAAGTAATTTAACCTTACTGACCAGAGTATAAATTCAAACGTTTATAACAGTAATTTAAAAGAGAGTTCAATACAAAACTAGAAGATGCTCAATACAAAAGAAATAAAGATGTCATATTCACAACGTTTCAGTCGTTGTAAGCTCCGGCACTCTTCAGGTGATTAGAATTTATAAACGAACGCTTTAAAATATCCACCGGAGTAGATATTTCAAGTTCCACATGCCATGCCTCTTCAAGATATTTCAGTTATTTCCCTTTAATGCAACTCACCGAGGTTTTGGTTCACCACTGCTGTAGCCTGGTATTGAACTCACAACACTTAGGGTCTAGTCACTGGATCTAACCAACTTCTTTATCCACAGGGTCATGTGTCCTTGAGGACACGTTGCGAATATAGCAATGAAGATGAGGATAGCAGTCCGAATAATGTAAAAGAGCTTAAATTATGCATCTAAACTATTTACGCTTATTTGGTGGGGAATTTTCATTAGCATCCTAATAAATATAGTATTAGGGGTGGAGTTCATGATTTTTTGATAAATGCAAGGAAAATTGTGTCGAAGTCCAATATTTGGTTCCAGACATATGATATCAAATAGCGGGTATCGAGTACGTTTTAAATATGTTACCGAGAATGATTTTCTTTTAATTTTCAGATTGAAATTGTTTTAATATTTGGAAATTTTCACTAAAAATAGAAAGAATTGGGGGTTTCAAACAAAAGTATAGTAAAATATTGTGTTAATTAAACTGAATTTTCTGATGTCGACCGCCAGTTCCTCTCTATAGAGGCAATTTCCTAAAAGATAATGAAATCCTTCCTTGCCCTCCATAACAATGTCTGACGCTCAACTTCTCGAGAGCGCCTCTCTGCGGCTGCTCGGTCTCACGTTGACTGCTGACCTGGGATGGAACAAATACATTGAGTCAATTGCTTCGTCCACCGCAAGGAAACTTAGCTCCCTGTGCCGCGCCAGGAAATTTTTCTCCCCGGAATCGATCCTTCAGATCTACAAATCAACAATTCGCCCTTG